CTTTAAAATATCAAAAAAAGTTTATCATTAACAGCAACAGCAACACCATAAACATCTACAACACCACAATAACAACAAAAACTTCAACTACGTCAACTACTTCAACAGCTTCAACAACAACAGCACCACAATTGCGATTTCTCCAACCTTCCCACGGCGCAAATGGGGGTCTCCTGCCTTAAATGAAAAAAAAAGATTAACACCAAACACAAGATCAGTTGCTCAGGTGTGTGGTCGATTATATAGAGTTAAATCCTTAAGTGGAACAACATGGGGGTGGAGAAAGAAGAAGAAAGGAATTGGTGTCAGAAGAACTATATGAACTGAATAAAATTTCTCAGCCAAGATGTAAGGCGGCATATGTGCAACCACTACCAAAAATGGAAAAAACATTCAGTAAAATAGACCGTACTAATCTCAGCCACTTCTGCACAGGACATCACCCGGGAGTGAGAAGCTATCAGAAGAGAGTTGGTATTAATGATGGCACGGTATGCAGACTATATGGCGTAGAAATAGAAAAATAGAACACATATGGGCAAGACGTCGGAAAGTAGATGATTTGAGGGAAACGTATGGTATGGAGGGAAGACAGGAAGAGTTGATCACTTCACCCATCAATGCTGTTAAAATGTTAAACGATATATTTTGCAGATTGGAGAGCAACAGAGGGGACACATGAACCAATACAACAACAACAACAACAACAACCACATTAAAAAACAGTGCCAACAACATCAGCAAAAAAAACAACATTTAAACAGTGTCAACATTAACAGCACCAACAAAAACAACAACAGAACCACCATCAACGAAACAACAACAACGTCAACAACAACAATAACAACAACAACGTCAACAACAACAACAACAATAACAACGATGTCAACAACAACAGCAACGAGCACGTGACCAGCATAAGAAAAGAGGCCACCCCACCACAGACTCATTCCAGCAACATCTCGCCTTTCAAGTCAGAAAGTAACATTTTTTATATTGCTCCTCGCTTTCTATTTCTCCTTGCTCATCTTATATCATAGTTTTTTTTATCTTATTCATGAAAATTGTTAAAACAAAATGTGTTAAATTATTTTAAATTCACAAGTTCATTTTTACTTCATTATTTGTAGTGTCTTTGACTACAAGAAGCTGTTTATTTGTTTTTTTTTTCAATATTATTAAAAAAAATACGTATTGAATCAGAAGAAAGATAAATAATTATAAGATGATAACAGTTGTTAATATTTTAGTGAGTAAAATAAGGCTTTCAAATTAAATTTTAAAAAATAAACACGCCAACATGCCCGTGTTTTTCAAAAATCCGTTCGTTAGGATCGATCCTCAAACGCTGTTTATTAGGCTTCCCTTGTCAAAGGTTTTCATTATCGTCAATACATGTGCAGCGCACGTATGTATGTTTTATATGTATATATTTGTATACTGTGCATATATTTGGCTGTATGTATATTTGTATGTGTAACTGTATTTATGTTAGTTTGTATGTGTATTAGTCTTTATGTATGTACACCGTTTGTACACGCGTCCGTTTGTATGTATATCTAGGAGGTTGAATATGTATGTACAAGTAAACCAGTATATTCTTATGTGAGTGTGTGTGTGTGTGTATGTGTGTGTGTATGTGTGTGTGTGTGTGTGTGTGTGTGTGTGTGTGTGTGTGTGTGTGTGACGTATGTGAATGTTTTGGCGTGTTAATTTTTTTACATTTTTTTACAATTGTGAATTGTGTATGTTCGATATTCATTGGGTCATTTGTTTCATACGTGTGTATATGTGTCTGCGTGCTTGTGCGTGCGTGTGTGTGTGCGTGCGTGCGTGTTTAAATATACAGGTAGGATCAATATAATCCCCAAGTAAACAACTACAAATTCATCTGCATTGTTCTAATATGTCGGGTCGGCATGTGCACTGAGAAGCATACTTTAAAATTGATGGCGTAAGAGAGGTGCATGCGAGCATTCGAGAATGTGCACACCACAGCACAGGCCTGGTCACATTCACATGCAAACAAACAAACATCGAAATAAGCTTATGTGTACAATTTGTGTACACTTAGAATCATTAATACAGACATACACTCCTACATGCATACGTCGAATACTTGTGAATAACATTATTACACAAATATACGTACATACATGCATGACGCTGTATACATGGGAAGAACAGTAACATACAAACATACCTACAGACGTGGTATACAATAACATACAAACATACCTACAGACGCTGTATCCAATAACATACAAACATACCTACAGACGCTGCATACAGTAACATAGAAACATACCTACAGACGCTGCATACAGAAACATACAAACATACCTACAGACGCGGTATACAATAACATACAAACATACCTACAGACGCGTACAATACTGTGTGCATATGGAAGACATTAATATACAGAAGCCTTCCTGCTGCAAACGCGCACAATTCTTCCTGTTTACGCCTTCGACAACAATTCTCATTCTTTTCTTCTCTTTCTTTTTCTCTCTCTCTCTCTCTCTCTCTTTCCTTCTCTCTGTTTATTTATCTTTTTCTTTGTTTGTTCCAAATTTTTTTATTTCTTCTTTTCTTCTTCATCATATAATTACTTTATCTCACAGCTCCTGAGGTTCTTATTTTTCATTATTCCTCTATCAACTTTAATTTTATTCCACCCTCTCTTTTCAACATTATCTCTCTTGTTCACTTTTTCTTTCTCTTTCCTCCCATCATCGCGATAAATCGACGAGCGAGTGGCTGGCCACGATGTGCAAATAATAATAAGAAGCCGCAGCAGGCGCCATCCACACGAGCGTAAACAAAAACATTTCTACTCAACTTATATCTGTGTGTGCGTGTGTGTGTGTGTGTGTGTGTGTGTGTGTGTGTGTGTGTGAGAGAGAGAGAGAGAGAGAGAGTACCATAAACAACAACCGTGTTTAGCAAATAGCAAAGTATTGTTAGTAAAATGTACCAATAAATAAAAACATTTGACAAAATGGATGGCGAGGCTGGTATAACATCCATCAAGCATTTGTTGCTCGCTCATATGTTCCATCACTCCATCGTTAATCATTCATCCGATCATTTACTCTGTCACATGATTTTTCTCATCTGTTTTTTCATTTGTTTGTAGTTTGTTCATTCATTCGTTCGTTTGTTCATTCACTAGTTCGTTTGTTCACTCACTCGTTCGTTTGTTTGTAGTTTGTTCATTCACTCTTTTGCTTGTTCATTCATTTTGTTTGTCCTGTCGTTGTTCGTTACCTGCTTCTATCATTCATTCACAAATATTTTTTCACAAATCTCTCTTCAGTTTTTCTTCGAAGTATGTACGAACAACAAGCACGTGTGACTCGATGCATCACACACGTTGAATGTGATGACAAACGGGGGATCTCTTTGTAGTCGAATCCCGTCTCTGCAACAGAGGTGTCAGGCATCTTTACCATTACACCACTACGCTGTCCAATCGTATCGCCTCGTTAGTTTTTTATTTAAGCACTCAGCTCATGTCTTTTCATTAATTAATTTAATTAAATTCATTCATTAATATTTTACAGCTGTCCAATTGTTTGCAAATTAATTTGTTAATTTATTTAATTAATTTTCATTTGTTCTTTTGTTCACTCACTCAATCATCAACTAACCAGTTAAGTATGGAGCATCGTATGTGAGGAGGGCGAGGACGAAGATGATGATGTTGACGTTGAAGATGATGATCTCATTGGCAGCAGAAGTGAACAGTTTCTGTTTGAAATATAATATGGAAGTCATCACACTATAGCTGGCTGACACGTTGTTGTCGTCGTTATTGTTGCTGTTATTTTTGTTGCTGCTGCTGTTGTTGATGTTGTTGCTGTTGTTGTTGTTGCTGTTGTTGATGATGTTGTTGTTGTTGCTATTGATGTTGTTGCTGCTTTTGATATTGTTGATGATGTTGTTGTTGCTTTTGAGATTGTTGATGATGTTGTTGTTGTTGATGTTGTTGTTGATGATGTGCTGATGATGTTGTTGTTTTTTTTTGTTTTTGCTGCTGTTTTTGCTGCCGATGTTGTTGATGTTGTAGTTGTTGATGTTGCTTATTGTGATGTCAGTGTTGTTCATTCACTACATTTCCTTTATGTTGTATTGTTTTCAAAGTTCAAGCACACATCCGATGCAACTCAATCAAACATTCCACTGGAGGCCGGCAGGAATTATTGCATCGAAGATCCCTTCAAACTGCTTCACATCAAACTCTGCATACCAACTCCTCAACTGAAAATTTCGAAAATGTTAGGCATTGCAATTCTTCATTAAAATATTTCCTTTCCATTTAAAATTATATGGTAAAAATTTGACAAATATTCTTTGAAATTCATAATTACAATCTTGAAGAAATGAAAGACATAAAGGAAGCATGCAGTTAAAATTTGCACCAGTAACAAACATCAGGATTAACGTTAAAATTTGTACGTGCAGCAAAGGTAACGACTACAACGGCTTCAGACTGGAGTGGATGATTGCCATTGGATATTTGGAGGCGCGTACGCAGATGTATCGGTGCCCCCTCACCTTTCCACCTATCTCACTCACTTTCACTCTCACCATCATCCGTGCACATCTCACCGCGTTCTCGCTTCACAACATTGATATCTTACCTGTTTTAATTTCTCTCTCACTTAATGTTTGCACGTATGCGTGGTGTACCTTTACTCAAGCGTTGTATCTTCCCTTCGTATGTCTGCGTGTGCATTCATTGGCGTCTGTTGTTTTCATGTATGTATGCGTTCATGCATGTATGCTCATATATATTTTCGTGTATGACATGTACATTTGTATGCATAACTGTGTATGTGTGTGTGGGTGTGTGTGTGCGTGTGCTAGCAAGGATGTTTGTGTACTTTTTTAATGTTGCAGAATGAGCTTGCCCATGAACCTTGGACACCTCAAATGAGGGACTGACGGCGCTCATGCTCGGTCTCTCAAAGTTGGGTTCATCGCGAAACTTGGGTTCACTTTGCATAGATGTCAAACCACTTCACCATATAACGTAAAACCTTGCATAAGCCATAGACACCTTCAGCAAAGGTGTCTTACACAAACAAACAAACACGTGTACATTCAAGTATTTTATTCGAAATGAAATGTCTTTCGTGAACAAATTTCCAATTTTTACTGGTGTTTTTTTAACAATATTTCCTAAATTTTCTAAAATCAGTTGCAATTTTGTTTAAATTAAGTGACATATTGTATGCACATGAAACTCTCACCATACTTTGCCTGTACCACCCGTCATAACAGTAATTATTATTTAATTAATTGTTATTATCTATTGGCAATAAAATGTTATTCAAATTTTTTTCATTTTTTAAAGTGTGACCAATTATGATTCGTTTGAAAGTTTTTTCCCCGATCGCTTTCACCAAGAACTTCAGCTTTCCTCAACAAACAGGCCACCGCTCAACAAGTTGTTCCGTCATTAGCAACTGGAGCATCAATATGTGACGGAAGTTTTGCAATATAAATTCTGCAGCCACGTTTGGATGCTGGCAAGACTGACCTAAGACGTACAGCGCTATGAACAAAGAGAGCAGTTGACATCGTGGGTTGTGTAGGACCGCCCCGGTCTATTTCCATTACGAGCGCAGATGACAATGCTGCATCAGACGTTTCATCTTCAGTGTCGTGCACAACAAAGGGAATTTTTCGTGACAGATACCCAGCTATGAAGATGACTTTTGCTTCGATGTGACATCAGATTGCAAAAGTAATTCTGCGTCGTCAGTGCTTATACCAGCAACACATTCAACGTCCGCATCTTCAAGAGTGTGGTTGCAAAGAGCACATTGTGTAAATGAAAAAGTTCTCTCATGACCACCAGATACTACTTCAAACTTTGTAAGTTGCTGTAGACGTTGAACTTTATCAGCAGCCAGAACATCTGATAACGATGTAGAAATTTCTCCTGTACTGTGTC